AGACAAGATTGGTGATGTAATTTGGGGCAGAGTTATAAATGGCTTTATACGTTTATTGTTAGTGTTTTGAATTTTATCCGTTGGGCAACGGGAAGCCAGTGGAGGGATTGGCAGAGAGGGATGGCAGATATGGAATGGGAAGCCAGTGGAGGGATTGGCAGAGAGGGATGGCAGATACGGAATGGGAAGCCAGTGGAGGGATTGGCAGAGAGGGATAGCAGATATGGAATGGGAAGCCAGTGGAGGGATTGGCAGAGAGGGATGGCAGATACGGAATGGGAAGCCAGTGGAGGGATGGAGGGAGATACGGAATGGGAAGCCAGTGGAGGGATGGCAGATATGGAATGGGAAGCCAGTGGAGGGATTGGCAGAGAGGGATGGCAGATATGGAATGGGAAGCCAGTGGAGGGATTGGCAGAGAGGGATGGCAGATATGGAATGGGAAGCCAGTGGAGGGATTGGCAGAGAGGGAAGGCAGATACGGAATGGGAAGCCAGTGGAGGGATTGGCAGAGAGGGATGGCAGATACAGGACGGTTAGTAAGGTGGATGAGTCTGGCAGTAGCATTCATGATAGACTTGAGTGGGGATAGCCTGCGACGAGATAGGCCAATGAGGAGGGAGTTACAATAGTCAAGGCGAGATATAACAAGGGAGTGAATAAGTTGCTTAGTGGTTTCCGAGGTTAGGAACGGGCATATATTGGAGATGTTGCGGAGGTGAAGTCTACAAGATTTGGACAGTGATTGGATTTGGGGGTGAAAGGAGAGATGGGAGTCTAGGATTACACCTAGTACCCTGGCATGAGGGGAGGGACTGATGATTGTGTTATTGATCTTGATGGAGAAGTCAAGGGAGGGGGCACGGGCTGGGGGGAATACTAAGAGCTCAGTTTTGGAAAGATTGAGTTTGAGGAAGTGGAGTGACATCCATGCCGATATGTCACTTAGTAAATAATATACTAAATAAAATAATCCATACACATCCACTACTTTGAGGAATTTGACCCCCCCTCCATTTTTATTATTATTTTTTTTTTTAATCCCCTCTTACCTGATGCTGAGATGGCTGCAGTTGAGATACTCATCTACACAGAGGATCCAGCGTTGTCCCACTGAGATCCTCTTCTCTGCTGCCGCTGTCTGCATGTTATTTTGTGACATCATCAGGAGGCACCTGGAGCACCAAACATCACGCTATTCACTAAGGCTACTTTCACACTGATCCGCTGCAAAAACACATAGGCGTTTTTACCATGCTTTTGCCGCGCTTTCTGAGGGTTTTTAACCCCTTGGTGCCGGCGCCTCCCGGCCCTTTAAGGGTTCCAGGGGGGGGTGGGGTTTTAGGGTCATGTGACTGCTGTGATTCGCTGTCACGGCGGTCACATGATCTCCTCTTTCGATCGGGACCTTTCCGTGAGTACCAAACGTGCAAAGGGCACGTGCTCTCAGCACTTATGTTTTTTTGTAATAGAACGCAAATGCCCAGCGCCAGAGGTTAAAGAACACACGTGACTTAAAAACTGCACCAAAAACGTTTCTCAGAGGAGACATTTTTTTTCATTGATTTCAATGGGAAGAGGCGTCTCTGGGGTTTTTTTTTTTTTTTTTTTTAACTTCCCAAAGATGCTGCAAGCAGGAGTTTTTACACCGCACTGCAAGCTCAGTGTGAAAACATACATAGATATACATTCACATACATAGGAAAGTGTTTTCTTCAGCTTTTAAGCACTTTTATTTTTTAACTCAAAAACACTACAAAAAACTCCTCAGTGTGAAGGTAACCTTGTGGATTAACCACTTGCAGTCAGGGCCCCAGGTGCCTCCTGAGATATGAACGTCACATATCCCAAGAGGCGCCAGTTGCACTAACAGCATTCGCCTAGGTGAATGGTGGAGGGTGGGCCAAAACAAAACTATAAAAAAATCGCAATATATGTACTACGGAGGGTGGGCAGGTTGCAGACGAGCCATGACATACAAATAAGCGAAAATCCGCTTTAATGGCCCTGTAAACTATTTTTCATTAACCACTTGCCATCCTGAGGATTTACCCCCCTTAATGACCTTTTTTTTGCTATTCGGCACTGCACTATTTCAACTGATAATTGCGCGAATCATGCAATGCTGTACCCAAACTAAATTTCCGTCCTTTTCTTCAAACAAATAGAGGTTTCTTTTGGTGCTATTTGATCACCTGTGTGCTTTTTATTTTTCACTCTATAAACAAAAAAAGTTCAAAAATTTTGAAGAAAAACAATATTTTTTATTTTTGGCTATAAAGAATATATAGTAAACTCAAAGTTAGTCATGAATTTAGACCAAAAATGTATTCTGCTACATGTTTTTGGTTAAAAAAATCCCAATACGTGTATATTGATTGCTTTGTGTGAAAGTTATAGTGTCTACAAACTATGGTATAGATCGGGTGTCGGCAACCCGCGGCTCCGGAGCCGCATGCGGCTCTTTTTTTCACCTTTCCTGCGGCTCCGGAGCACACTGCCCACCAGGTGACAGGCAATAGGGTCGGCAAGCCGCGGCTCTTTTAATGCAGATCTTCTGTGTGCCGGGCGCCCGCTGGCAAACATTGGCTGTCAGGATGTAGGCGGGGCAGCGTGACGAACTCCTCTCCTCTCACAGTCCGCCCTGAAGACCAGAACGGCGCGGGAACCCAGCGAGAGGAACGCGCGGAGCAAAGGTAAGTGAATTCACACAATATGGGGGATGAATTACTATAGGGGGGATGAATTACTATAGGGGGGATGAATTACTATAGGGGGGATGAATTACTATAGGGGGGATGAATTACTATAGGGGGGATGAATTACTATATGGGGGATGTATTTTCAGTTTTAAAAATGTTTCTCTCAAAATAAATTTCAATCGTGGTTTTGGCGAGATTTGGCTCAGTCGAAAAAAAAAGGTTGCCCACCACTGACCTAAGGCTATGATTGTGATTATGACGATACACTGTGGCCCTGATTAACCCTTTGCTTACTGGGCCCTTAAACCCCCTTCATGACCAGAGCGTTTTTTGCAATATATGCAGTGTCGGATTTGTTTTAAATGTTGCAATGGTTTTGCGGCTCCCAGTCTTTTTTTCCCTCTCGGAAACGGGTCCAAGTGGCTCTTTATGTCTTAAAGGTTGCAGACCCCTGGTATAGATAATGGAATTTACACAGCTTTTACTTTCTGACTGCTCATCACATTTCTTGAGGTGCTAAAATACCAGGACAGTACAAACATCCCCAAATTACCCCTTTTCGGAAAGTAGACACCCTAAGCTATCAGCTGAGAGGCATATTGAGTCCATGGAAGATTTTTCTTTTTTTTTCCTCTAGTTTTTGGAAAATGACAAAAAAATTTTTTTTTTTCTTTACACAAAGTTGTCATTTAAATTATTTATTTCTCACACAAGCCATGGGTAGATGTGGAATTACACCCCAAAATACATTCTGCTACTTCTACCAAGTATGGGGATACCACATGTGTGAGACTTTTTGGGAGCCTAGCTACATACAGGAGCCGCGATTGGCCACCTACCCGGAAATGCAGAATCATGTATATGCGTGATCCTACACACAGGGGCCACCCTGTGGCAGTAAATGTACTGTGGGAGGTCCTTAAGTGGTTAAATCAATTTCCTACATTGTTTCTCTGCCTCCTCGTAATGTCTTCTGTGAGCTACCGAACCTCTCCTTTTCCCTTGCAATTTTGTTTGGAACCAGCAGTGCATGTTAGTTGCAATCCTATACACTGCTCAACGTACGCTACAAAGCCCACAGTCCATTTCAGGAGCAAGCAAGAGAAGGTGGCTTTGTTCCTTCATACAGTGAGACCATGGAGAATAAATGTAGTTGCCCTCTAACAGGAAATCGGATCTCGGCTGTAAAAAATAACCATTGGAGTGGTTGTAGACTCTTCCATGTGGCTGGCCTCTGGCGGTGCACAGAGATGGAGCGGGTCTCCTATATAGGTTGTGCCTGTTTGTCTGCAGTCTTCTTTTCTCTGCAGTTGTTCAAAGTGCTGAATTTATACAGCTTGTCTGAGAGTTTAGAAAAAAGGGAGTGGGGAGCTGAAGTTGCACATTGCATAGCTCAGTGAGGAGAGAGCTCTGAGAACTGATTGGAGGGAAGAGAAACACCCCCTTCACACAGCTCACAGGAACAGAGCTGAGGCTGTGAATCTGCTGGAGGTCTCTCCCCTGTCACCTTTGAACTCTTGGTGTCCGGAAAACTTGTCAGGGGTGGCTTGTGCGGGTGACGGGGGGAGGGTGGGAGGGACAGGCGTCACACTTGGTGCTCTGGATTGGGTCAGGTGCACGCTGTGCTTTGTTCATATTTCATATCTGAGGTTTACAACCACTTTAAGGCCTTTTGACATCACTGAGTTGCTTTAAAAAAGGGGGAAAAAAAAAAAAGGAAGTTGGAGGAGGCAGTGAGCAATAGAAGGTACTTTTTAAGTGATTGTAAGGGTCTTTTTTTTTTTTTTTTTTTTTTTTGCTTACCTGCTCTGTGGAAAGTAGTCCCATACTACATCTTCTGGAGTCTCCCCACTGGCGATCTTCACTTCTTCTTCCAACGAGTGCCCCCCTCAAAAAGCTGTGTATTAAGCCCCCTCAGGCAGGCTGGCTACCTCACGCTCCCTTCTCACAGGATTTGACTGACAGCAGCAGGAGCCTATGGCTTCCGCTGCTGCCTGTGTCTCCTTTGAGACCAGGAAGAGAGGAGAGCGGGGCTGCAGATGTGACAGCCCTACATCAGTGGAGTCAGGTAAGTGTTTAGGGACAAGGGGGTGGGGGAAGAGGTAGTCGAGCATTTTTTTTTTTTTTTTTACCTTAATGCATTCAAATGCTAAGACTTTAGAACCATATTAAGTTAGGAATGCATTCTTGAAAATATACTGTATACATTTCTTAAACCAGCATTTCATGTCACTTGAAGTAGCCAAAGCTTGCTAATTGTGGATGAAACCTGCCTAATATGACCAACTTCCTCTCTACAGACACCTGGCTAGAAAGTTTCTGTACCTTTGGATAAGAAGGACATTTGGAAGGGTTCTGCCATCCACTGCTAGGTAAATATATGCTTACTTTTGCCATTCCCATTCCTGTAAATTGTGTGTGTTTTACTTTGAAATTATAATAGAGCCTATTTCAGCAATGCAGGTCCACACTTCCATTGGGTGCTACTTTTCATCTTTTTAAAACTTTCCTATTTTCCTCCTTTGGCCAGCCCCATTACTGCTCCCACAATCTTTCTGTGTCAGGGTGGCCCCTTACTCTTACAGTGTGCTGTTAAGCTGCCCTTGCATGTACACTCCTGGCTGGCTGTGTCGCACTGTGCTGTGTGCATTAATGCACACACATGTTATGGCAAGCCCCAACTCCACCTCCTCCCTCCTTCAAGCTAATTGAGGGACGGCGGCTGGCGTCTGCACTCAACATTAGTTCAGGGAGCATGCATGTACACTTATGGCCAGTTGTGTCCTTCTGTGCTGTGTGCATAAATGCACAAAGACCATGTTATGGCAAGCCTTTTCTCTACACCACCTCCTTCAAGCTGATTGAGGGACAGCAGCTGGCATCTGTGCTCAATATCAGTTCAGGGAACTGCTCTGATGGTCCCGAGGCCAGTGGTGGTGCATGGAGAAAAAAACAAGTTTTTGCACGTGCAGTGAATTGGGTGCTGGTATTTATTATAAAAAAAGGGTTATGGTTTCACATTGCCATAAGAGTATATGAGGCCCATTCAAACTTCTCTGTTCCTCTTTAATGCGTTAACCCCTTCACGCCTAAGGATTAAAACAAATCTAAATGCCTAAGCACAATTTTGCAACATTGACAGGTGTTTGTAAAACCGTACATAGCATCACAATACTTTGTACATCCGGGTGAATTATACCTTGTTTTTTTTCAGGACAAATTGGGCTTTCATTTGGTGGTAAATGGTATTGGATATCTCCTAATATTTTTTTTTTATTATTATCAAAGGAAAACCGGCCCAAAATAGTAAAAAAAAAAAATCATTCTTTTTTTTTAGCTGTGTGTTTCTTGTTACTACCATAACCTACCGCCAAAGAACAACCCAAAATAAATTCTCCAGCTCTTGGCGATCGCAGCGATATCATATATGTGTATGTTATTTGTTGTTTGTACCCGCAGTACAGCCCAGAAACAATAGTGCGAATTTTGTTTTGGTATTTTACTTAAAACACACTGACACCAAATGTTTTTTTTAAATCCTGACCTTTGACCCTGACCCAAACACTTATGCAGGCCATAGACGGGGAGAAAAACGGCCGATTTTTCTTTTAAAAAACGAAAAATCGGTCGTTCAAGCGGCCGACATTACCAGCAATGGTAAAAAAAAATTGGCCGATTTTCATCCCGTCTACAGCCGGCAAAAAGTGTCCCTGCAGAGAGCTCTGCTATTTCTCTGACAGTTCTTTGACATCTATAGCGGTTGCAACAATGTATCTATTTGTATCCATTTAGGATACAGATGTTTTTATTCGGAAACAAATAGATACATTGTTGCATCTGCTGTAAATGTCAAGGAACTGTCAAAGAAATAGCGGAGCTCTCTGCAGGGACACTTTTTGCTGGACTGGAATTCCTCTTATTTTTCATCCCTCTTCTTCTTCTTCCTCCTCCTCCTCCTCCCTCCTCTCCCCAATTTGCCCATCATTGCCGTGAAAATCGGCCGCTTTTTTTTCCAACTTTACCGATAAAAAAACATCTTCCAAAATACAGAAAAACGGCCGAACAAATAGCCCACTAACGATCCGAAAATCAGCCGATTTTTATTTTCGGCCGATTTTCGACCCATCTATGGCCTGCATAACTCTGGCACAGAACTAGATCAATCCTTGATCTAGGTATTTTTTCTTTATTTTTTTTTATTTATTTTATTTTTTTTTATTTTTTTTTTTTACAAACATTTTTTTTCTCTCTATGCCAGGAGTTGGAGAGATAAATGTATCTATCTCTTCTATTCTTAGAGAGAAAAAAAAGGGAGCCAAGCTGTACAGTGACTGATCACTGTGATAGCCAATCAGAGGCTATCACGTGACCCGGAATCGGGAGAACCAGGTCCTGACCGTTAGAACGGGACCCGGTGCTCTCAGTGACATCGTGGTCTGTTCTGGGAGTGCACCGTGCAGCGCGCTCCCAGCAGAAAGACAGGTACGCAAATATGCGGCCCCCGCGGAAAAAAGCCCAGTTCTGTGAGGCCGCATTTTCGTGCATTGTCACACTGCATCAAGTAGAATGCTGCATATCCATTTTTTTTCAAATAACTTTATCAAAGGTTTTATTGATACACAGACAACAAAACTAAACAAAAGAAAAACCAAAAACTCAGATGAGTACAAAATAAGACCGTAAAGTCTAGCATGTGGCTCCTCCCATAATACTATGGTAATCATACTTACACTGTATCATTCTGAAATCAAAGTAACAAAATGATAGCAATATAGCATATCCTACCAACAAGATTGCCATATATCAGATAAGCTAAGAGTGGTGAAAAAGAAACACTTCTGCCATGATTAACCATTAGATCGGTGAGGCATAACAAGTAATGTAACAGTCAATCCATCCTAATAGAGAGTAGGGGCTAGCACACTTCTGAGCCTATAGTTAAGACCTAATGTACCTTACAAAGAGTACCTTTCTGCCTCATAGCTAGGTCATATAGTTTGAGACAGCCTTGCACAATCCTCCTCTAAGGAGATACAAAATACTTAATATTGTTAGCATTGCAGTAATCGCAGGGATATAAGGGCTAGTGCTGCTGTCCTTTGGCCGGAACGCAGGCAAACCGCTGCAGATGTTCTATGGCTTCATTGCTCCTGTCTCGTGAAGCACGAGAAGGGAGAGGATCAGTGCTATCTTGGCTGCTCCGGTCCAGTGCCCCAGCCTCTTCTCTGTTTCATCTAGTGATGGCTCTGGTCATGGGACACCACTGCAGGTTGAATCAAGAGATGGATCAGGTAAGCAGGGACCCAGAGCACTGTAGCTAGACTCTGTGAGGGTTCTGTAAGGCTGATGACAAGCAGATTTTCGGAGGCAGCTAGGATCTCAACATCCTCTCACATCGTCAGCTTGGCCACACCCTTCATATCCATTTTTTTTATTCCATTCTTGACCCATTAAAAATGAATGAGCTACCGTAAGTCAACACATTGCACAACTCACAGCAATGTACACAAAAATGGCAAACTGATTCTTGCCTAAAGCATATCTCAATACAAAAGTTTTTTGCTAGTTTTGGATAGAGTAGGAAATGGTTAAAACCCCTAGAATTTTGTTTTTTTTCTCTCCTTTGACCCACCTGGGAGATTTTCCTTCACTTCCTATCTCAAAAGGCAACTGGAAATGAGAAGAGATCTCTTGATAGTAAAGGAAATCTACTCTTAGACAGTTGTCACCAAACAGATTTTCTCTTCTATTCCTGTTCTAATGATAACGAAAATTTTAGGTTTTTTTCCTCACTTCCATACTTGGTGGGAATGGTCACCAGGACATGGAGAGGATTATTATTATTATACAGTATTTATAAAGCGCCAATAGTTCGCTCAGCGCTGTACATTACAAAGGGGGACAGAACATGTGACAGAACAATACAATGCAAACATGAGGGGATTGAGGGCCCTGCTCTTTCGAGCTTACAATCTAGGAGATAAATCTTTCTAGCGGGGACAAAAAAAACAGTTAAACCACGACAGAGATCTTAACCCTTTCCTGCTCTATCCAAAATGAAGGTGACTAATGATACAATTTAGAGTAGAACTATAGGCAAAACGTTTTTTTTTTTCCAATTTTGGATAGCGTTAAGGAGGGTTTTAACCACTGTCAGATCTTTTTTCGCCATCGGGGTCCCATTGGGGAGATTTACCTTCACTTTCTGTTTCATAGCCAAAACAGGAAGTGAGAGGAAATACCAATGAGAACCAGTGTGCCCAATGGAAGATTTCCCCTCTGTTTTCTGGGAACAACCCAAAATTGTAGGGTTTTCTTTTACTTTCACTTTTATTGATAATGTTAAACAGGACAAATAAAGTGGGTGAAATCTAGCCACAGAGCTGTACAATACAGAATAATTATTATTATATTATTATACAGTGTTTATATAGCGCCAACAGTTTACTCATCGCTGTACACTGCAATGGGAGACAATACACGTACATACAGTACAATAAAAAACACAATGCGATACACGAGGGGTTCGAGGGCCCTGCTCCTTGGAGCTTACAATCTAGTAATACCAAAAAGAATCAGTGTTCCCATAGAGCTCAGCCTTCGGATATGACCAGTAGCACCACATAAAAAAAATACAAATATACAATGAACAATAAAGCAGTCAGAGGGTAGCCAGACAAAGTATTAATTACCCATTAATTAACGGCTACGTATAAGTTTTATCTTATATGACAAACCTAAAAAAAAAACGTATACAAAAACTAGAAAAAAAAGATAAAATGTGGAAAGAAAAAGGGGGGGGGGGAGTAGGGAAAGGGTGAGAAGAAAGTGTATCATTGTATCATTGAGAACTGTGAGATACATCATAGCATTACCCCCAATGGGGGTACCGAGCATTCCGAGATCCCTTAGCAAAATAGGTGTGATAGGCTTGAGAAGATGAGAAAGCCGTCCAATAAAACCAAGTCATCTATTGCTGTTCCTCCCTTCACTTCAAGGCCACAGTAAGGTCCTCCATCAACTGAGTTTCCACAATTACAGGAAACCATTGAGCTAGCAAGAGAGGTTCAGTACACATCCACTGTTGAGCTACAGAGACCCTAGCTGCGTTAATCAGATGGACCAACAAAAACTTTCTTTAATGATGCCTGGACATCGGGGTCAGATGTAATAAGAAGACCTCAGGGTGGTCTTCAAGCCGGAAATCTTTGAGTTCATAGATCGTATTTGGACTTTCTCCCAAAAAGGGCAGATAAGCTTGCACTGCCAAAAAATATGCTATAACTTTCCCTGCTCTTGACTGCACCGCCAACACAACAGCGACACTGCCAGGAAGATTTTATTCAACACTATAGGTACTGTATACCATCTGGTCGATAATTTGTACCCAGCCTCTTGAAACCTGTTCAAAATTGTAGTAATGCTTCCCTTTACAAACAAGTCACGGTGCTGAAGAAACCATAGGCACAGGCGAAACACATTGACTTCCCTACTGTATAGTAACACTTTTTGATAATAACTATTCCATATGGCTATATGTACTACACAATATGTAAAGAGTTAATGCCAGGAATGATCCCCTTTTTGAAAGGGTGTCCTGGATCTCATGTTTATCTTGTTTATTATGGTCTTTATGTAAATAAAATTGTAACTTTTCAACATGATAGTTTGGTCTCTCGCTGTGTCTACAAAATCCGTAATTTTGGCCATACAACCCTTGTCCAGCATTAGATATGTAACTGAGATTAGTTTTTGAACTTTCCTTCAATTAGTTTAAGGTCATGTCCCTGTGTTCTTGATTTTGGTTTCATGTTGAAAATCCTGCTCTCGTGAACCTTATTCACAACCTTTTGTCTGGCACTTTTTTTTTCTGTATATATTGGATGTGGCACTAGGAAGCTCAATATTTTGCATATATTATATTTTAAGTTTTATTTATTTTATTTTTTTTTTTGTATGTGGCTATTTACAGAAATAACTTCATAATATCTCTTTAGACATCATTATTCCCATGGCTTGCTGCGCTTCTGCTTTGTCCAGTGGAAGGAGGAATGGTGGATAGCATGTAAAGAGTGGAGGCTTGGAGTTCGAGCTGACTGCCATTACAGGTAATAGGGTTTTGGGTGTGTATTCCTTTTATGTGGACTTTTTTGCTACTTAACGCGACGCTACCAAACGTGAACTATACCAACCAAGAGAAATAGCATATAAACAATAACCAGAAAAACTGTGCTAAAATGCGTTATAAAATGTTTAAATGAATGAAATATAATCTATTGCTGCCACCTCTAAAATATTTAATACAAACAACGTATCCTCTAAGTCAGGGCTTCAAATTTCGAGTCTAGACCTACTAGCCAGGCACAAACCTTACTCTCCACCAGTTGCCCCACCTAACCTTGCCCAGGTCCACCTCCAACCCCACCCCCTGCCCCAACCACGCCCCCCCTAAAGCTTAAGAAATTAAATTTTTCTTTACAATAAACTTTATTATAAAGAAAAATTTAATTTCATAAGCTTTAACCACTTGCCTACCGGGCAGTATACCCCCTTCTTTACCAGGCCAATTTTCAGCTTTCAGCGCTGTCGCACTTTGAATGAGAATTGCGCGATCATGCAAGTATGTACCCAAATGAAAGTTTTATCATTCTTTTCTCACAAATAGAGCTTTCTTTTGGTGGTATTTAATTGCAGCTGGGCACTTTACTTTTTGCTCTGTAAACAAAAAATGCAAAAAATTTGAAAAAAAAAAAAGTTTCTTTGTTTTCTATTATAAAACTTTTCAAACAGGTAATTTTTCTCCTTCACTGATGTGTGTTGATGAGGCAGGACTGATGGGCACTAATAGGCGGCACTGATAGGCAGCACTGATGGGAACTGATAGGCAGCACTAATGAGGTGGCATGGATAGGCGGCACTGATAGGCAGCACTAATGAGGTGTCACGATAGGCGGCACTGATAGGTGGCACTGACTGGCATCACTGCTGGGCACTGACTGGTGGCACTGCTAGGCATTGACTGGCACAACTTCTGGGCACTGACTGGCACAATCACTGGGCAACTGGCAGCACTGCTGGGCTGCACAGGTGGCTGGGCACAGGTGGGCGCACTGGGGCACAGGTGGGCGCACTGCTGGGCACAGGTGGGCGCACTGCTGGGCACAGGTGGGCGCACTGCTGGGCGCTGGGCACAGGTGGGCGCATTGCTGGGCACAGGTGGGCGCACTGCTGGGCGGAACTGGTGGGTGGCACTGCTGGGCACCGATCATCAGTGCTCTAATGATCGGTGCCGATCCCTGCTATGGCAATTGCCGGTTCTCAGCAGTACTTCCCTTACGCTCTGACAGCATGAGGAAAGTGCAGCCGAGAACCGGAAATTGCATTTCCTGGTGAATCAGCGTGTCATTGGACACGGCTGATCACTTGGTAAAAGGCCGCTGTGATTGGCCTTTTACCACTTCACGTGATCAGCTGTGTCCGGACAGGATCACAGAGATCGCCGCGATCACAGAGATATGACGCGGCAGTGTGCGCGCCGAGGTGGTTGGCGTCATAGAGAGGGGGGTGTGAGAGGGAGTGGCGTCCCCCTAGCCTGTCCCTGTCTGCAGTTCCTCCTGGGCCTCCTTGTTCCAGTACCCATTTGCTGTGTGTGATGCTCAGTACGATGCCTTCCATGCCAGCAGGATGTGCATGATAGCCAGCAGCGGGCAGGGTCTGTTCTTGCTCTTGGTGAGGACAGGAGGGGCTCTACTCCTTCCAGTGAATCTATATGATGTGAGATTTAGCGGTCCCTGACTGCCTGCACCTCCAGTTCGTCCCCATTCTCTGGGATCCCGATAAGTCTGTCTTCTGGTCCGGGGAGCAGAGAGGAGGTTGTGTGAGGGGGTGCGCATGCGCCCAACACCACTATAACAACATCTGACACCGGAGTGGCCATCGGATAAAGACAGCTAGACGCGCCACAGGACACAAGTACTGGGGGAGGCGGGAGAACCTCATACAGTACAGTTGATAGGTAAAAGAAAAGGGAGTGATAGAAGGTGCAGGAACAGTCAGTAATGGGCAAGGAGTAGCCAACAATAACACTTGCCCCCATGTTATTTCCACTCTTCAAATGCAAGCAGGCGTGTGGAAATTTTAAGCCCTGCTCTAAGTGATTCAGTAACGCAAAATATCATAAACATAAATTTCAGAGTGAAAACTCATACAAGTGTAAAAAGTCCAAAGAAAAATCCTTTTTTATTCCAAAATGATTCAGTTTTTTTAAATAAAATCACCACGTGAGTAAGATATATAGTGTCCCCCTCTCGGGTGTGCATTCCCCACAAGGATATGCCTCCCAATCTCATGGTTGGCTTAATCGCTTATGAGATGTTATTCACAAGACAATCAACTTATAAACTGGATGACAAACACCTCCTCCAATTCACCACAATATCTTATTCCAGGATATTCCAATGACATAACATATAGATTAAATGGTTGGTATACAGGTGCTATGTGATCGTCTCTCAAATGGCCATGTAAAAGACAAAAAAAAACCAAAGTAACCCCTATGGTAGAGTATAAAACAGCTCCTTTATTGCCTCAAATAGACAGCCACTTAAAAGCTAGAAATGATAATCAAGCCCAATGAGGTTGCAGATAAGGAAACCAGCTAAGTGAACTATGGAAATCACTGCAGTGCTCTCACACCACCGAGTTCCACAAAATGGCGCCAATCTTTTCACTTCCGGTTCTGATCGTGTCACTTCCGGTTGCCACACAGTCACGCCCTGACGTGTTTCGTCATATCCGACTTACTCATAGGGGTGGCTGTGCGGTGCGGAACTCCTTCTTTATACCCCCTCCCATCACGACGTTACCGCCATTGATAGGCCAATGGTAATCCTCCCAAACTCCCACCCCCGTGATCTGGCAGAACACTACCTCAATCTAAGATGGATAGAAGGGCAAACTAAATCTGTATGTAAACTGACTACCCAGCTTACATCTATAGTTAACCCATAAAAGTACTACATTTTGCAACATCCTTGGGTGGAACAACAACAAAATGACATGCTTACATAATAATGGTGAATCTAACATAGAACATTAAGATTCATAGTATAAATTCACTAACAGTAAAAATTAGCAATAAAATATTTTTTTATAGCATTGATTAATTACAATATCGCACAAAACAAAAAATATAATTAATAAAAAATATTACAATTAAAATATCAAAAAATAATACATATTAAATTATAAAATAAAAAAAATGAATAAAAATAAAATATAAAAATAATAAACACCCTACAAGGACCCTTTAAACCAATTATTCTAATAAATACCAGTCCACACATGGTGCCAGTCCCAAAAAGCAAGGAATGAGCCCCAAAGTCAATACAGGCTCACAATTTAAATCTAGTTCAATATTGAGACCACCAGGCATCAAAGATTTCAACAAATAAATCCGTTTAGTTTCTCTTTTAGAAAGATCCCTTACTCTATTAGACCCCCTCCATGACGGTGAGACCCAATCAACCTCCCAAAATTTCATTTTAGAGGGGTCTTTATTGTGGTAACAAGCAAAATGCTCAGACACACTATGATATGCATAACCCTTTCCTAAAATGTTTAATATGCTCAGCTATTCTCACATTTACATGCACCTGTATACCAACCATTTATCCATATCTATGTTATGTCATTGGGATATCCTGGAATAAGAGATATTGTGGTAATTTGAGGAGGTGTTTGTCATCCAGTATATAATTTGATCGTCTTGTGGATAACATCTCTTATGCGATTTAAGCCAACCACGAGAATACGAGGCATATCCATGTGGTGAGTGCACACCCGAGAAGGGGACACAATATATCTTACGTGGTGATTTTATTTGAAGAATCTGAATCATTTTGGGATAACAAAAGGACTTTTCTTTTGACGTTTTTCACTTGTATGAGTTTTTACTCTGAAATTTATGTTTATTGTATTTTGTGCTACTGAATCACTTAGAGGATATGTTGTTTATACCAACCAAGAACCTACCTGTAAAGAACAAAGAAAATATTTTTCCTACTGCCTGCACAACATAAGTTCATTCTATTAATGATAAATGGTGCTCCGCACTCACACTTCTGGGGGTGTCCATTTCCACTGTTCCCCACTACCCTCACTGGTTCCTCCTGCTGGCTTCCATGTCATGAGAGACCAGTAAGCTCTTCGGGGGGACTATAAAGAACAATCCTTCTGAAAATGTGTGTGCAAGACGACTTTGGGGGACCATTTCTCATGAATAGAGCAGAGTTCAGTGGCATGGGTAGCGGGAAGCTAGGTATTCTCTCTGTTCTTTAGAGGTATGTGTCTGCGTGATATAGTTTATGTATGGCACAGGGTTGCTATAAAGCTCAACTCCTGCCAAAGCATTTTATTTTGTTTTGGATAGAGCAGAGAAAAGTCAGAGCCTCTCTCAGGTCTTTGTTAGGGAGATTAGTAAGGAGAGGAAGTGATGAAAAATCTCTCAAATAGGGACATACAAAAACCGTTAGTGGAGAAAGGTTACAACTACTAACAATGGTTTTTATTGCTGCTATTGCCTTCCTGTCTAGGTGTAAACAGATCACCCTCATTTCTTTTATATTGGTCAAAGGGACAGGGAAAATTTCCCCAGTGGGATCACAGATAGAAATAAAACCCTGACAGAAATTATAACTCTTCTCTGCTCTGTCCAAAGCAAAAAAATGGTTGGAGGTGAGCGATAATTGACCCTTCTCTTAAAGTTCATAAGAGGACAAACCATTACCTTGTGGTATGTGCAGTCTCTGTATTCAGTAGGATACAAATAATGATTGTTGCCTTCCTTTGGCCTATACTAGGCCTGTTCTAGCTTCAGGATGTACAGTGTTTCTAGGAGGCATGCTTAAGTGGACCTTTCAGGCTTATTCATTTTTATCTTCTAATTTTCCTGACAGGTTTCTGGGTTTGAAATATAATGATCTATTATTTCTATTTTGACAGTTGACTTTCTAATTCCCGTGCATGTAAACATAGTGGAATGTGAAGGTATCACTATGAACTGTTTTACATACACTATATTGCCAAAAGTGTTGGGACTTTTACACGCACATGAACTTTAATGGCATCCCAGTCTTAGTTAATAGGGTTCAATACTGAGTTGGCCCACCCTTTGCAGCCATAACAGCTTCAACTCTTCAGTGAAGGCTGTTCACAAGGTTTAGGAGTGTGTCTATGGGAATGTTTGACCATTTTTCCAGAAGTGCATTTGTGAGGTCAGGCACTGATGTCGGACAAGAAGGCCTGGCTCAGTCTCTGCTCTAATTCATCCCAAAAGTGTTCTGTCAGGTTGAGGTCAGGACTCTATTCAGGCAGTCAAGTTCCTCCATCCCAAACTCGCTCATCCATGTCTTTATGGTCCTTACTTTGTGCACTGGTGCGCAGTCATGGTGAAACAGGAAGGGACCACCCCCAAACTGTTCCCACAAAGTTGGAAGCATTAAATTGTCCAAAATGTATTGGTATACTGATGCCTTAAGAGTTCCCATCACTGGAACTAAGAAGGTCAAGCCCAACCCCTGAAGAACAACCCACAACATAATCCCCCTCCACTAAACTTTACACTTGGCATAATGCAGTCAGGCAAGTACCGTTCTCCTGGAACCGCCAAACCCAGACATGTCCATCGGATTGCCAGATAGAGAAGCATGATTCGTCACTCCAGAGAACATGACTCCACTGTTCTAGAGTCCAGTGGTGGCGTGCTTTACACCACTGCATCTGATGCTTTGCATTGCACTTGGATGCAGCTGCTTGGCCGTAGAAACTGTGTGCTTCAGCATGCACTGATCCCGCTGTCATTTTATGTGGCCTACCACTTCATGACTGAGTTGCTGCTGTTCCCAGTTTCTTCCACTTTGTTATAATACCACTAATACTTGAAAAAGTATTCATATCCCTTGAAGTTTTCCATATTTTGTCATGTTACAACCAAAAACGTAAATGTTTTTTATTGGGATTTTATGTGATAGACCAACACAAAGTGGCACATAATTGTGAAGTGGAAGGAAAATGATAAATGGTTTTCAAAATTGTTTACAAATATCTGAAAAGTGTGGCGTGCATTTGTATTCAGCGCCCTTTACTCTGATACCCCTAACTAAAATCTAGTGGAACCAATTGCCTTCAGAAGTCATCTAATTAGTAAATAGAGTCCACCTGTGTGTAATTTAATCTCAGTATAAATACAGCTGTTCTGTGAAGCCCTCAGACATTTGTTAGAGAACATTAGTGAACAAACAGCATCATGAAGGCCAAGGAACACACCTGACAGGTCAGGGATAAAGTTGTGGAGACGTTTAAAGCAGAGTTAGGTCATAAAAAAAAAATATCCCAAGCTTTAAACATCTCATGGAGCACTGTTCAATCCATCATCTTAAAATGGAAAGCGTATGGCAACAACTGCTCACCTACAAGACATGGCCATCCACCTAAACTGACAGGCTGGGCAAGGAGAGCATTAATCAGAGAAGCAGCCAAGAGGCCCATGGTAACTCAGGAGGAGCTGCAGAGATCCACAGCTCAGGTGGGAGAATCTGTTCACAGGGCAACTATTAGTCATGCACTCCACAAATCTGGCCTTTATGGAAGAGTGGCAAGAAGAAAGCCGATGTTCAAAGAAAATCATAAAGAGAGCCATAAGAAGCCCCGTTTTGCAGTTTGCTAGAAGCCATGTGGGGGGACACAGCAAGCATGTGGAAGAAGGTGCTCTGATCAGATGAGACCAAATTTGAACTTTTTGGCCTAAAAGCAAAACGCTATGTTTGGCAGAAAACTAAAACTGCACATCGCCCTAAACACACCATTCCCAACAGTTTGGTTCAAAGGTCATGATCAGAGTCAGAGTGTATCAGTGTGTTTTAGTTAGGATAAAAAAAGTGAAATGTGCACTGTTTCTTGGCCCTACTATGGATACAAACCTCAAATAACATTTGAGCAATAGGAGAATTTGTCTTGGGTTGTTCTTTGATAGTGGGTCATGGTAATGGCAAGAAATAAAGCTAATTTAAAAAAAAAGATCTTTTTTTTTTTTTTTCTTACTATTTTGGAACAGTTTTCCTTTTGATTAAAAAATAAACAGGTGATATCCACTGTCATTCATCGCCAAATGAAAGTTCAATGGAATACACTAAGTAGATATGTACAGTTTTTTTTTATTAACACATACCAAAGTTGAAAAACTGGATTCAGACGTTAAGGTTTATGTTACCTTTTTTGTTATGAAGGGATGAAGCTTGTTGCCAGCTGGGACTTCTTTGTGCCCTGGCTCTTTAAATTTGCCTTCCAAGTCCTGACTTGAAACCTCAGATATGTAGCTGTCCTAACTTCTAGTTTGGCACAAACAAAAAAACACATTTATATGACTGGAAATAACAAACGGGAAAACCAAAATAAATCATGCTCAGAAATAATATATTTTCAGATTGTAAAATGGCTTTATAAAAACATAGGAATAATAGTTGTGATTGATGCATTTACTCAAGTAGCAGCAAAAAAAAGGGAGATTATAAAGTATCCACTTGTTCAGCATTACAAATATATTGACTAGCAAGTTCAGTATATAACCGACTATTATGCTCCTTTTTTTTTTTTCTTTTTTTTTTTTTTTTTGTATTCTCTATGTATTTATCAATGTTTGCTGAAATGTAATGCAACTGCTTTCTTTTGCTACACTAGAGTGATAAAGGGCATGTTTACTGTGTATATTAAAATTTTAGGTATATTTGTTACAAGATGTGTTTCTTTGCGTGGAGGAAATTTGTGCAGACACAGCGGGAGACTAAACAGAAGTATCAGGTTGCAAAGTGCCATGGTAAGAATTCTACCAGTAAAAGGAGAAAATGCCTATCAGCTCAGTCCATGTATAACTAGTAAAGACAGTTACCTGCCAGGGTATAAAAACAATAATGCTCAGCCTTCAGCCATGTTAGGCAGCTTACCTAGAGGTTACCCCAGTAACTCAGAAGAAAGACAGATTTGTTCAGAAGAGCTATAGACTTGTAAGTGTAAAGACTTGTAAAAATACTTTTAGTGAAAAAGGAACTTCACTTTAATTATTAAAAATTAAAATTCAGCAGCTACAAATACTGTAGCTGCTGATTTTCAAAAATCAGTAAATCAATACTTCCACAAGCCAGCGCTGTCTTCCTGCAGCCCATTGTTCTCAACACTGTTGGTCCCTGCTGCCACCATCTTGGGTTTAGGAGTCAGCTGTGACTTCCTAGTAGATCACAAATAGCTCCACACCGCCCATATGCAGGGAGACTGGTCCTGTAGCTTTCTGGGACCTGGAACATTAGAGGGTTGAAACAAGGAATTTAATACTTACAGGGGTGATTACAATAGTAAACTTTTAATAACTTATGTAAAACCCTCTCCCAAAAGGAAAAAAAAAAACTGTTGCTGTAGTTGTAAATTATTAGCTGGTGTTGTTCAGCTTTAATGTGTTGGCTAAGTCAATCTAAATCTGCTAATGCAGCTATCCTTCTTGCAATATTGACAATGCTGCTGTCCAAAGGTGTTCCTATTGCTCCTGCACTGGAGCATTATTGGACATGAAGTGTGCTATTGGCCAGATTACCAGGTGAAAAAAAAAAAGGAAACTAAAAAAGCCTAAAAAAAAGGAAACTAATGCAGCCATCACTTGTAAGCATTGGTAATCTGCAACAGATAACAATTTTTTTTGGTGAGTGGTCAGTACTGCTGTACCACCAATGATTTCACCATTGCTTTTAAAGGAGTAATCTCAGTACTTGTGATTTATGGAAATAAAATATTTGCATTGTTATGGAGCTGTAACTTTCCCATTTTGTTGTAAATTTCCTGCTCACAGCTCAAAAGCAGATCATGTGTCAGGTATGGCATCACTGGATTATCTATGTGCATATCCGCAGAACCAAGCAACACATGCTCTCTGAAGCTCTGGAGTTCAGACAAAATGGAGACCTACAGTGAGTTGACAGTAACTGTAGACTACCTACTCTTTAGCATTCTACTATACAATCTGTGAGACTAATCATCCATATGTTTGTTCTTTTTACCAGCAATGCTTGGCACATGTGGGTGGTCCAGTTCCATCGTAGACAAAGAATCCAAGAAATAGAAATTCTGTCCTTAAAACACTGGGCTGTGAGCTTGCAAATGAGGGTATGTCAGACTATGCGAGTATAGCCTCATTTAAAATCTTTTGTGTCTATATTTCTTACATTACTAGAATTGAAATGTTTGACGTGTTTGGCTCCAGGCACATGCATTTCTGTAATACCTTACCACTTTGTGGATAATAAAACTGTATTAGAACCTTTTAATCCTTGTGGAAATATTGGCTACCTTTTTGTGTTTTGTAGAAATTCACCACATTATGCTTTTCTCACTTCCCAGAAAACTATACAGTGGGGAGAGGTCAGATTACATCTCAATGTGAATGCAAAGGAAACTGCAGAGGCATGCTTTTTGTCAAAAGGGTTCAGGGGACTTACAGGTGAAACTTGAAAAATTAGAATATTGTGCAAACGTTCATTTATTTCAGTAATGCAACTTAAAAGATGACACTAATATATATGAGAGACTCATTACATGCAAAGCAAGATAGTTCAAGCTGTGATTTATCATAATTGTGATGATTATGGCTTACAGCTCATGAAAGCCCCAAATCCACAATCTCAGAAAATTTGAATATTACATGCAATCAATAAAACAAGGATTGTACATAGAACAATATCGGACCTCTAAAAAGTATAAGCATGCATATGTACTCAGTACTTGGTTTGGGCCCCTTTTGCAGCAATTACTGCCTCAATGCAGGAAGCTATCAGCCTGTGGCACTGCTGAGGTGTTATAGAAGACCAGGATGCTTCAATAGCGGCCTTCAGCTCTTCTGCATTGTTCGGTCTCATGTCTCTCATCTTTCTCTTGGCAATGCCCCATAGATTCTCTATGGGGTTCAGGTCAGGCGAGTTTGCTGGCCCATCAAGCACAGTAATCCCACGGTCATTGAACCAGGTTTTGGTGCTTTTGGCAGTGTGGGCAGGTGCCAAGTCCTGCTGGAAAATGAAGTCAGCCTCCCCATAAAGCTCGTCTGTGGAAGGAAGCATGAAGTGCTCCAAAATCTCCTGGTAGAAGGCTGCGTTGACCCTGGACTTCATGAAGCACAGTGGACCAACACCTGCAGATGACATGGCTCCCCAAATCAACACACTGTGGAAACTTCACACTGGACTTCAAGCATCTTGCAGCGTGTGCCTCTCCATTCTTCCTCCATACTCTGGGTCCTTGGTTTCCAAATGAGATGCAAAAGTTGCTCTCATCAGAAAACAGGACTTTGGACCACTGAGCAACAGACCAGGTCTGTTTTTCTATAGCCCAAGTAAGACGCTTCTGACGTTGTTTGTTGTTCAGGAGCGGCTTGACAAGAGGAATATGACATTTGAAGCCCATGTCCAGAATCCATCTGTGTGTGGTGGCTCTTGATGCACTGACTCCAGCCTCAGTCCACTCCTTGTGAAAGTCCCCAACACATTTGAATGGCCTTTTCCTGACAATCCTCTCCAGGCTGCGGTCATCCCTGCTGCTTGTGCACCTTTTTCTTCCACACTTTTCCCTTCCACGTGCTTTGATACAGCACTTTGGGAACATCCAACTTCTTTTACCTTTTGAGGCTTTCCCTCCTTATGGAGGGTGTCAATGATGGTTTTCTGCACAACTGTCAGGTCAGCAGTCTTTCCCATGATTGTGGTTCCTACTGAACCAGACTGAGAGACCATTTAAAGGCTCAGAAACCCTTTGCTGGTGTTATGGCTTAATTAGCTGATTAGAGTGGGACACTTTGAGCCTAGAATATTGCACCTTTTCACAATATTCTAATTTTCTGAGATTGTGGATTTGGTATTTTCATGAACTGTAAGCCATAATCATCACAATTATGACAAATCACGGCTTGAACTATCTTGCTTTGCATGTAATGAGTCTATCTCATATATTCGTTTCACCTTTTAAGTTGCATTACTGAAATAAATGAACTTTTGCACGATATTCAAATTTTTTGAGTTTCATCTGTACAGTACATCAAGGTAAAGCCAGTATAGCAGTGGTTCTACCTTAACTGACACATAATCTTGCCTTTTGACAGAAAACAGGTCACTACTGCTACTTTCTACACAGGACTGTACCTTCTCAAGTGCTCTCAACTTTTAAAGCCTAATTCCAGGTAAAACTGTGTCCCTTCACATCCTTTCCCAGTAAAGGTGCCCATGGGCATATAGGTAAGATGAGATTTCTCCAGGACACAGACCGCAATACAACCCTTACTTTTTATTACTCTAAAGAAGCGGTAGAACCTTATACTCGGGCATAACCTCTCCTTCTTTATATATTTTGAATTATGAGATATGATGCTTCTATAATTCTTTTAAGAGCCATATATCCACAAACCAACAGGCCGTTATGAGCTCCTCAGCTCAGGCCCACTTTTTTCTCTTTTTCTTAACAGGCAAAATATTGGGTACTGTACTAGAGCTTGGCCCTGTTACTACATATGAGATTTTGTTTTGGCCCTTTTCTGCTCAATTGGTCCCAGATGGGGACATATTTGTGTAAGCGAGTAGGAATTAGAACTGAGCTTTATGAATATTATGTTTCATACGGCAGTATGTTGACTGTCTGAATCCCTCTTTGGATGATTTGAGCTTATCTTTTCTAGGTACTTTGTACAATTATACATTTTTAATACCAGACAGCAATGTTGTCTTTTTTTTTTTTTTTTCTTTTCTTTTTTGTGCAAAACAATAAAAACGATTGAAATAGAAGGGGTAAAACCTATGGCCCTTCCCCAGTCTCACGCTCTAAAAAAGTGTGTAAGCTGCAGCTAAGCTTTACAGCCAAATTCCATGCAGGTATAAAAACCCTAAGCAACACAGTATTTATTATTATTTACTACTACTATTATTATTCCACTTTTACACGCAATCAATACACTTATTCTGAAAGAAAGACCGAGGACAATGTACAAGCTACAGGCCAATCTCTCTACTTAACCTAGACCTAATTTTTTTTTTTTTTTTCCTCAAAATGTTGCCTATTGGGTTAATTATACACCTACAAAACTACACAAGACTATCCACCAGACCGAGTAGGTTGATTCCAAATAAGGAAGCAAAAGACAACATGACTTTGGCTCTAAACTCTATACCAGTAGTCGTCAACTTGTGAGTTAAAGGGGGCCTCAATTGCGGACATCACCAAATGACCTCACATAATGTTCATTATATGTATTGCTTGAGAGGATTGTCAGAAACTGGAAGGACAATAGGGTAGGTTCCCAAATTTCTCAGTCAGGTAGGGAGAACCCCGTACAAAGTTTACCCTGCAATGGCTCCCCAAAGGGTCAGATTAGCTCTGAATCCCTACCCTTATCTGGTATTTGCACGATTCAGGGGCACAGTCCTCCACTTCCTTAGGTTAAGGGGAAGAATTTTCTGCAGCCATATTTGGTCTGCATGATCCGCTGTCATGCTAGGAATGCCTGGGACACAATTGTGTTTGCTCTACTTCCCCTTTTCTCCTTTTGAGGCAGGTTCAGGCTTCAGAGGGAGAGGTGGAAGCTGTTGAGGATCAGGAATCCTCTGTCGATGAGTCCTCTCAGGAGAGGTCTCGGGATCCAAGACTGTCTCACATAGACCACAGTGGGCCTCCTACCAGAAGGGGTGCACACCTTAAGTTAAGGTTGCCATAATCCTCTTCCCCTAAAGTCACTGGTTTTGGGTTCTGGCAGCCTGCAGAGAATACCAAACCTTTTTACAGTGCATCCTCACTTGTAAGAAGTGATGTATGGTGATTGGGCTCACTCAGAGAAGGTGTTTTTACCACCAAACATTTTGCTAACCAATACCCCATGGAGGAGGAATTCTGCAAGAAATGGGGCTCTCCGTCACTGAGCTGGCTATTTCCTACTTAAACATAACCCTGACAGTCCTGGTGGATGAGGACCCAGTCTTTAACTGCTTTCCCGCTGCCCTATAGCAGATATACTGCTACAGAGAGGCAGGAGTGCGCAAAATCACATGTATGTGTCTATACATATGTGATTTTTGAATTTCCTGGTAGGGGGCGCACACTCCCTACCCGCGCCGCTATTCGCAGCCACAGCTGTCAATCACCATGTCTTGGCCAGTGATTACTCGCTGGCACCCGGTGATCGCGGAGCATTACCGACAGAGGGAGAGAATTGTAAGTAAACAAAGCAGTGTGCTTACAGTTGAAAGCACACACACACAGCTCACAGTAAAACACACAGTTAATCTTTTGATTGCCCCACATGTTAAACCCTTCCTGCCTAGTGCCATTAGTCCAGTGTCAGTGCTTTTTATTGCCACTGATCACTGTATTACTGTCATTGGGGATGTCAGTGACACCAAGTCAGTTCCTCCCAGTGTCAGAATGCCCACAACAGTCCCGCTATAAGTCGCTGATCGCTGCCATTACTAGTAAAACAAAAAATTAAAAAAGAATCCAAGTATATATACCGCCATTTGTAAACGCTATAACTTTCACATAAACCATTTTAATTTACATGTATTGGGATTTCTTTTTAGCAAAGACATGTAGCGGAATACATTTTGGCCTAAATTTATGATAAAATTTGATTTTTTTTTAAAAAAAAAAATTTCACTGGATATGTTTAATAGCAAAAAGTCAAAAATATATTTTTTTTCTCAAAATTGTTGGCTTTTTTTTTTATAGCGAAACAAATTAGCTCTATTCGTGGGGAAGAAAGGACTTAAATTTCATTTGGGTGCAGCGTGGCATGACCGCACAATTGTCAGTTAAAGTAACTTGGCGCCGTAACGCAAAAAATGGCCTGATCAGAAAGGGGGTGTGGGGGTAAATCATCTGGAGGGCAAGTGGTTAAAGATGACAAGGACAGAGGTTAGAGGTGCTCTTTAGTAAGAAAACTTGCCAAGCCCTCAAAAGCTGAATGAAGTGTATTCTCCATTCCAAAGATTTGGACCCCAAGAATCCTGCCATCGTGGAAAACTTTCTGAGGACCTTGTCTTTCTCGTTGAATGCCTTGAAAGAAACTCCATAAGGCAGCTTTCTTGGGTAGGCACTATGCCTGACTTCATGGAAAGGATCCTATGGCTCAAGTGTTGGTTAACAGAACTTCTAACAAATCAAGAGAATACAATCTATGGGTGCCTTCATCCAGAAGGTGACTTTGGGGAAAAGCACACTTTCACCCATTAAGAAGGAAAAAGAGGTAGATCAGAAGAGTTCCTTTCTTAAAGTGGTATTAAGCCCAAAACCAAAAATGTATTGTATTGCAGTTTACCATTCCTTAAATGTGGTGGCTGAAATAGTTTTCTTGTTTTAGACTTATTTGCTTTATTTTTGCCTTGTGATCCAGCCAGTAAGTCTGTTATTTTTCAAGTCTGTGTCATTCCTGTTGCTTTCTTTCCTCTTCAGCAAAAGTAAATCTTAAAGCTGTCAGCTGATTAGCTTCTAATGGCCCTGATTTTAGGCACAGTGCTGATAATAGAGAGCAATGGATCACGTATAGAGAAGGGGGAGACTGTGCATTACTGAATTTTAAACTGTATAAGCACTATTGCTATACCTGCAAAAGGGGCCAGTGACTTATCCGGGCCTAATTTTCTGCTTAAAGTTCCACTTTAAGCAGCCAGCATTTGCTGTAAGCAGAAGCCTAAATCCCAATAACATTAGAAAAACTGGACTCCCAGGTTCCCCAGTTCCAGAGAAAATCCTATTCGCAGTGAAGGGGTGCCCCCAGGTGCATGAATGGAGGGCGGCATCTTTTGGCCTTCATATCCACTTAGCCTCAGCAAGTCTCAAATGTCTGCATCTGTGATGTGGTGTCCTAAGTGTACAAGCTGAAGTTTCACTGCTGTCCCCCACCATGGTTTATGCTCTCAAGGTTATCTTTGGATCCACAAAAAGAATAGTTGCTGGAGGAGAGGTCTCACAGATTCTATTCCAATGTGTTCAGGGTTTCTAAGCCAAACCGGTATGATCTGCCTATTCTGGACCTCAAGAATTTCAGCAAGTTCCTGAAAGTACAAACATTCAGTATTGAGTCCACCCAGTAGGTAATTGCTTCAGTTCATCAAGGGGTCTTTCTGTCATCAGTGGTTATCAAGGATGCTAACCTTCACATCCTGATTTTTCCAGCCTCACTGATGGTTTCTGTGATTTGCAGTGGAAGATCACCACTTTCAATTGGCTGACCTACTTCTCTTTCGGCAATCAGCTCAAAAACTGACATCAAATGTTCAGCAGTCCTGAAGAAGTTTGGATAGGTACTAAACTTTCTGAAATTGCCTTTGGGTCCACCACAATCTCTAGTTTCCGCAGGGGAAATGCCTGTCTTTCAAGCCCAGGTGGAGTCCCTGAGATGTTCAGAAACTCCCTTGATTTAGACCAGCATGAAGGTGGTTGGGAAAAAGGCTGTTGGTACAGGACAAATATCAGGAGCCCTTGAATCTGCCAATTCATCTGACTTCCAGAACCAAGGCAACTCTGAAATGGCGAGTATCCGCATAAATACTGGAAACTGGAAAATCCTTTTTTCCTATGAATTGGAAAGTCTTGATGAAGGATGCCAGCCTGTCAGGGTGGGAGGTTGTTCTGCAGAACCTTTCAGTTCAGGAAACGTGGCCTTTAGAGGCGCAGAAGCTGTTGATCAACATCCTGGAGTAATTCAGCTGGCTCTACACTGGTTTTTCTACCTCTATAGCCTGGCCACCACAATGCTGTGGCATAAATCAACCATCAAGGAGGAACAACATTGCACAGATTTGCTGTTGCAGGGTCCGGTTTTTCAGTTGCTGGCTTTGATGGCATGGCTGTTAAACCCCAAGTCCAGAAGAATAGGGGAGTTTCGGACTCTTTAATCACTACCCTAATCAAGGCTAGAAAGTCAAACTTCAGGAAGGTGTACCATTATACACGGCTTATTTATAAAATTAATTTCTGATGTATGTTGTGGGCTCATATTGGCCTTTCTGTTGTCCTGGTGTGCAGACCTATCTGGCTTTAATTTCCATCAGGGAACAGGTCTGGGCCTTGTCAATCCTGTCCCACTTCTTGATTAAAGCCTTGCTGCAGGGTGTCACCTAGGTTGTACAGCCTGCATGGCCTCCCTGTCTCCATAGAACCTTGGTCTGGTCTGTTCTGCAGTGTTCTCCCTTTGAACATCTCTGAGAGATTACCTTGTCACTCCTTGTTGCTGGCTTTGTTGTTCATCCTTTATGTTCAGTGCTTTGGAATATCCTAAGTAGTAATGCATATTGACTTTCTGTCCTGCAATGTCTGATTTAAGAAATTAGAATTTTTGGTTTACTTATAAATCCTTTTTTTGAAGTACATCACAGGACACAGAGATAGTATGAAATAACAGCTTTGTAGATGTTTGCTTCCCGTACTGTCAACAGGGTTCATTTTATACCATGGCTTCTCAAAAGGTAACATCTTCCATGCTTTGGTGACATATGACCCATGATTTTAAAGTTGAAATATCAAGCTCAAAGTCAGTGAGATAAGGGAGGGAATATAAATCTTCCATAAGTAATCCTGCATGTTTATAATTTTCAAGTGAATGTTCCATCATACCAGCAAGTAAAGGGTGCATGTTTTTTTTTTTTTTTTTTTTTTTTTTTTTTTGTTTTTTTTGTTTTTCCATTTATGGCATTTAAGTTATATGCAGAATCTACTTTATGTAACATTTATGTGCACTTTTGTCTTGGTCTCCTCATTTATTTGTGTCTTCATGTTTGAAGGTTTGGCTACAGTGGAGAGAATTATACCTTTACACTCAAGAGGAAAAACATAAGGAGCAAAAGGCATTGAAGCACTTTCGGTGCTGCAAATTGAAGACCTCCATAAGATCCTGGCTTCTTTACATGTATTATCGTAGACAAAAGAAGCAGCAGAATAGTAAGAGCAATTTTGAAAAAAAAATGTATAATTGTATTCTGAACATGTGTTACAGTTTATTTTTTTTTTTTTATTCCAACTTCGTTATGGGAGCTAAAAAAGCACCAGTCCGTCATCTAAAACCTGCCACTTATGTAAGAATATTTGTGTCTTTTACAGTATTGGCTGTGCATTTTTATCATGAGAATCTGATACAGCAATATTTCTCAGTCTGGGTCCACATCTTTGATGAAGTGAAAAAGATGCAGGCTGTCAAAGAACACTGTGATTTCCTGGCCCGTCGATGTGTTCTTAGAAGAGCTTTTACTCACTGGAAGCATTGTATCCTTTTATGTCTTCAGAAATTGCATACATGTGTTAATTGATATTAGCCTACAACATATGATTTCTTTCTTCATTGCTCTCAAGAAAACAAAAAAATGTAGACTAAGGGTCCAGGCACACTGGCTTACAAAAATGCCAGTGCTCTTAGCAGAAAAAAAATCAATAGTTTTTATTTTTGTTGTTTGTTTTTGTTTTTTTTTTTCTGCCAGAAAACCGCTCTCAAGAACATAAAACAGAAGGTTTTTTTTCTGCCTCTAAGCACTGGGCTTAAAATATGCCTCCATACGACCTAATATGCATGGACACATAGGGTAACATTAGTTGCTTATACAGGCAAAATGCAAAACACCTAGTAGCGTTTTTTTTTTTTTTTAAGCCATTGTGTATGGACCCTTAAAGGTACACTCCAGTTAATACCGAAAACAAAGCCTTGAGATGCAGGCAAGGAGCTGAGCCTACTTGCTTAGTACTTTAGTTTTTTTTTATCCATATCAAGCCACTTCGGTTCATTTCTTTGATAATCAGGTGATATCAAAACACACTGGCTTCTGAAACTGTAGACACCTTGCTGCCTCTCAGATACAGTAAAAAAAAGCCTAGGTTCTCACAGCCACTAATTAGATTTAAACCTGTTTTGAAAAAATTAATGTGATAGGTGATGCAGGGAGAGAAGTTACACAGTACATAATATCAGGTATTCTGGTTCCTCTTCTACTCCTAGTGAGCCTCTAAAAAGATCTATAAAATAGTCAGTGAAATGGTCAGGAAGCTGCAGGGCCATAGGTGCTGAACTGTCTTAAGATCTCCAGACACTATGGAAACGTAACGTGAAAGACATGGCTCCACATCTCGCATATGTGCAGACAGATCAAGCACTATGCATTTCACATTTCATCTTGCCACTGTGTCGGGTGATCTCAGGAGAGTTCTGCTTCTACGGCCTTTCAGCCTTTTGTGATGTTTGACCTGTACCTTAGATGGCTGGGGGCAGATCTCTCAACACTATGGCAACACCTAATGTGTAAGACACCAGATATGGCACCATGTCTCATCGGGCCGGCTACAAGAACAGGAATTGACAGCTGGCTCCCAAATGATGAAAGGATTTTTTTTTTTTATTAAGATTACCTTGTACAAAAGGGAAGAGGAAATTTAAAATAACAAAGGAGGTAATGAAAGTTCTCTTAAATATTAGAGCAATAGCCCCAAATTCTGAATTGTATTATCTAAATTAAGTGTGAACTAAGTATAGATGGCTTTGTGTCGTCATTGTCGGTAAAAGTGATACGGTACAAACATGTACTATATTGCCAAAAGTACTGGGACGCCTGCCTTTACACGCACATGAACTTTAATGGCATCCCAGTCTTAGTCCGTAGGGCATTATTTTCAGCTGTAACGGCTTCAAATTTTCTGGGCAGGCTGTTTAGGAGTGTGTCTATAGGAATGTTTGATCATTCTTCAAGAAGCACATTTTGAGGTCGGACGAGAAGGCCTGGCTCGCAGTCTCCGCTCTAATTTATCCCAAAGGTGTTCTATGGGGCTGAGGTCAAGACTCTGTGCAGGCCAGCGAAGTTCCTCCACCCCAAACTTGCTCATCCATGTCTTTATGGTAGTGGTGCACCGAAATGAAAATTCTGGTGCCGAAACCGAAAATTCAGGATGCGCTTGGCCAAAAACCGAATTGTCTGTTACTTTTTAATGTGTGTTTTTATTTATTTTTTTTTAACTTATGATTTTATTGCTATCACATATGGGACCAATAGTTCCCCATTTGACAGCATATAAGTGACAGGTCCTCCTTGTAGGGGGGAGGGGGTGTGGGGCAGAGTGTGCAAGGAGGGGGCAGGAGAGGAGCAGAGTATACAGACAGGCTCCCTCACTTTCTGCCGCTAAATGTCATTGCTGGTTTTTTAAGTGCAATTGTTGGCTTTTTTTTTTTTTATTTTATAGTTCCGAAAAAAAGCTGGCATTCTCCACGATGATAAAGTAAACAAAGGGGCAGAGTCACTGGGTAATGTCACTGGGCCCTCCCTTTTGTTTACTTTAGCGGCTTGGCGAATGACAACTCCTTCTCGGAGCTATAGTGAAAGAAAAAAAGAAAGCCGGCAATTGCATTTAAAAACTGGCAATGACATTTAACGTCAGCAAGTGAGGGAGTATGTCTGCATAAACTGCTCCCTCACAGTATACATTGTTTACCCCTCTCCTGCCTTTCTCCGCCACTCCCCCCATATGCAGTACACACAGCCCCCCCCCCCCAAACCCAAACCCCCCAGCCAAATAGTCAGTCCACCCCTCATTGGGGCCAAGTGTCTCATTATCAGCACCTGTATTGGCTCACTTTTTTTTATTGGCAAAATGATGATAGGGCTATTTTCGGCTGAAAAGGTTTGCCCACCAAAATTTTGGTGCATGCCTGCTTTTATGGACCTTGCTTTGTGCACTGGTGCACAGTCTTGGTGGAACAGGAAGGGGCAATACCCAAACTGTTCCCACAAAGTTGGGAGCATGAAATTGTCCAAAATGTCTTGGTATGCTGATGCCTTAAGAGTTCCCTTCACTGGAACTAAGGGGCCAGGCCCAATCCCTGAAAAACAACCCCACACCATAATCCCCCTTCCACCAAACTTTATTCTTGGCAATTAGCCAAGTACTACTCAGACACGTCCATTGGATTGCCAGAAAGACAAGCATGATTCTTCATTTCAGAGAACACATCACCACTACTCTTTGAGTCCAGTAGCGGCATGCTTTACACCACTTCATCCAACGCTCTGCATTGTACTTGGTGATGTAAGGCATTTTATGGGGCCTACCTCTTCATGGCTGAGTTGCTGTTGTTCCCAGTTGCTTCCACATTGTTATAATATCACTAGCAGTTGACCGTGGAATATTTAGCAGCAGGGAAATTTCACGGATGGACTTACTGCACAGGTGACAACCTGTCACGGTACTACGCCTGAATTCACTGAACTCCTGAGAGCGACCCATTCTTTCACAAATGTTTGTAGAAGCAGTCTGCATGCCTAGGTGCTTGATTTTATACACCTGTGGCCATGGAAGTGATTGGAACACTTGAATCCAATGGTTTGGAGGGCTGGCCCAAAACCTTTGGTAATATAGTGTATTTCACATTTCCTTAATTAAGGAACAGATATGCTGATTGCCTCTGAAGAAGTACATTTGCTTAATCTGGCCCAGGACCATTATAGATTACACCTAATGGTATTTGTCTTCTGTTTTTTCGGTGCAATATATCTTTGTTGTGTTCTTGTAAAGTGTGATGTTATTTATGTTGCAAAACGTTTATATTTGTATTGCAGGATGTTGGTTTTCATGCTCTAAAGAAAAACGTATTTCTTATACACACTTCACAGAAGAGAGAGGAGCAAGCTAGCCATCAATACCAAATTTGGGTGAGCAGTTTAAATGAATAGCTTGTTAACTAATCGGAATTCAGCCTGCCTTTCTCTGTGAGTTCTGTATTTAATATGTTTAAATGTAGAATGGCAAGTAAGTTGAACTAAATATGTGGTTTGGTTTGTCATTGGTTTCTTTCATTCAGATTATAAAAGAAATGGCTTTTTAAAAACTTATTGTAATAAGTAAGCTCATAGGTTGTCATTGTTGACTTCACAGTAAATTACCGTATTTCTCGCTCCATAAGACGCACTTTTTTCCCCCCCAAAAAAGGGGGAAAATGTCAGTGCGTCTTATGGAGCGAATGTAAAGTGGCCGGTCCGGTATTTCTTCCGCCACCATGTCAGAATTTCAGGCCGGCCGCTCAGCTCTTCTCTCCTGCAGGACCTTACCTGTTCCTCGCTCCAGCGCTGCAGTCTTCCCGCGGCGGCTTCTGTGATAGCCGGGTGCCCACTGCGCATGCACGAGAAGCGCTGCGCTTTGTGAATGGTCCGGCGTCTTCTGGGACACATGACAGGTCCCAGAAGGCTCCGGACCATTCACAAAGCACAGCGCTTCTCGCACATGCGCAGTGGGCACCCGGCTGTCACAGAAGCAGCCGCGGGAAGAAGGAAGGACAACTCCGCGGAAGTGGGAGCGGGTACCTGTCAAATTCAGGTACCCGTTCCCCCTCCCTCTCCAAAGGTCCGCAGTCTCTGGTCATCCCCTGCACTGTCCGCAGTCTCTGGTCATCTGTACTATGTCCGCAGTCTCTGGTCATCTCCTGTACTATGTCCGCAGTCTCTGGTCATCCCCTGTACTGTGTCTGCAGTCTCTGGTCATCTCCTGTACTGTGTCTGCAGTCCATTGGTTCAGAATTTTTTTTTTCTCTTGTTTTTCTCCTCTAAACCCTAGGCGCGTCTTATAGTCAGGTGCGTCTTATGAAGTGAAAAATACGGTACTTATTTTCTTAGCTGTCATTCTTATCCTGTAAACTTCAAACAAGTACTGTCCTGATCACTACTTGTTCCTGTTAATTTCCTCAAAGTATTGAAGTCAAAGAACCACATTTCTCTCAGTACAGGTTTCACTTATATCCTGATGTTTCAGTTTATGCATATCTTTTCTTGCTGTGCAGTTGCTGCGTAGATTCTGGACTCTATGGCAATATCATCTGGAGCAGAAGGAGGAAGAGAGACTTGGCTCCCTTATAATGGCAGCACATTCTCACTGCAGGTATAAAATGCAATGGTTCTCAGCATTAAAAATGTGTGCTTATTATCTTGCATTCCCATGCTATCTGGTTCTTTTGTTTCAGATTGTTGTTGTTACAGAAATACTTCAGTGCCTGGTTCCAGTACATTCGGCAGCACAAGTTCAAAAAGGTATTAAAGCTAGATAGTTGTTGTCATTTCTAATAAAATGTATAATAAGGTATCTAATTAAAGAGGGACTGAACCCTAGAAGCTGTTCCAAAAAAAAAAAAAAAGTCATGAAGAGGGCAAATGACTAGTCACCAGTATTTCCTAAGGTGTCCCTGCAGCGGGTCTTTCACCATTACTAACGTATTATAAGTTCTCTGCACTGTAGTTCTGTGTAAAGGTGACAAGTTTGGTAGAGGCAAGGCTTTGCTTCCTCATATCAGAGCCTCCAGAAAGGAGAAGAATGAGTAGCACAGTAGTGGTATGGTCACGTTTTACTTGAATTCTCCTAAAACCAGTAGCAATCAGTGCCTTAAAGTGCTACAAAACCCACAACAGTAAAATCAGTCTGTATATGCAGTATTATTTATTTGTTTCAGGTACTTGTATAGTGCCATCAATTTACGCAGCACTTTACATATATATTGTACATTTACATCAGTCCCTAACCCTCAAGGGGCATACAATCTAAGGTCCCTAACTCACATTCATACATATAGTAGGGACAATTTAGACAGGATCCAATTAACCTACTAGCATGTCTTTGGAGTGTGGAAGGAAACCGGAGAACCCAGAGGAAACCCACACAGGCACAGGGAGAACATGCAAACTCCAGGCAGGTGGTGCCATGGCTGTGATTCGAATCAGTGACCCTAGTACTGCCAGGCGGACGTGCTAACCATTTAGCCACTGTGCTGCCTAGTAAAACATGCCTGTTATAATTTCTGTGGAACCTAAGGGGTTAATCCTCCACATTGTGTTAAAAGGCTGTCTGATCTTGTCTTCTTTGATCCTCCTATTCTTCTACTGTCCCCAGTCCATCTGATAGTACAGAGGTCTAGGAGTCACTCTGCATTTGCTCAGCTTAGTGTGTATGGCTAGAGAGGTTTTGTTTTTTTTTTTCTTTGGGAGGGTGCATGTGATCAGTAAAGGGCCAATCAGCACTGTCCAGAAAGACAGTCAGGGGTTATGCAGCCTCACAGAACAGTCAGAGCAGAATGAAAACTCCTCTTACAAGATTAACCAGTGCTCGGCCAGACACTGATAAAAGTCATGACTGCTATATACTGCTGATGAGAAAAGGTATTTAGAAGTTTATATGTACTAAAATAATTGAATTTCCATGTTGTGTGTACAGTGGGAGACCAGATATAGTGCATGCAGGGTCCTGGGTTTAGTAACACTTTAAATGATTTCACACTGCAGATATACAGTAGAACTATGAGACTATAGGCACATGAGTGCACATACCTGGAAGCTCACAGCAATTTCTCAGGAGGAATTCAAGACAAAAAGTAACATTTTAAGGGTACTGCTTGGGTAGAATTAACATTTTTAGATTAACTCATAAAGTGAAGATTTCCTATGTAGGGGACATTTACTGTACATTTATTAATAGTTCATGTTTCTGACTATTGTACAGTCCACATCAGCTTGCAAATGTGATGTATGTTTCAGGGGTTGCCACTGGAATTAAAGGGCCCAGTGTGACTGCTGCTATTGCTTCACTCAAATTCCCTTTTATATATATTTGTTTTCTAGGTGCTGGTCACCACAGCAGAGAGCCATTATGCCAAGTGCCTATTACCTCGCTGCTTCCACGCATGGAGGACATGTGCATACTTACATCAGAAGGACAGAAAAATGGAAGATCAAGCCATCGAGTTTCACAGGTATACAATATCGATGTTCTGTCTTATTGCTTAGTGGCAGCAAGTGAATTTACTTATGGGTCCAATGTGAAGAACAAGGCATGTGTATCTTGGTGTGGTCAGATTATTTTGTGAACGGATAAGCAAAACTTCAAATATAATATTATTATTATACAGGATTTATATAGCGTCAACGGTTTGCTCAGCGCTTTACATTATAGTGGGAGACAATACAGTAACAATACAGTTCAATACAAGAGGGATTTGAGGGCCCTGCTCCTTGGAGCTTACAATCTAGGAGGGAGGGGTGAATGGTACAATAGGTAATAACTGTGGGGGATGGAGTGGTTGGAAGAGTAAAGGATCCGGTATTAGCAGAGGGCGGGATAGGCTTCCCTGAAGAGAGAGGTTTTCAGTGATCGCCTAAAAGTAAGCGATAGTCTGATAGATTAAGTAGGGTGTTCCAGAGGATGGGTGACGCCCTGGAGAAGTCTTGGAGATGAGCATTGGAGGAGGAGATAAGGATGCTAGAGAGTAGGAGGTCTTGCGAGGAGCGGAGTGTGCGGTTTGGGTGATATTTAGAGATAAGATCGGTTATGTAAGTTGGGGCAGTGTTGTGGATGGCTTTATATGTCATTGTTTAGTGTTTTGAATTTCCGTTGGGCAACTGGGAGCCAGTGGAGGGATTGGCAGAGAGGGGTGGCAGATACAGAACGGTTAGCGAGGTGGATGAGTCTGGCAGCAGCATTCATGATAGACTGGAGGGGGGATAGCCTGCGATGAGGTAGGCCAATGAGGAGGGAGTTACAATAGTCGAGGCATGATATGACAAGGGAGTGAATAAGTTGCTTAGTGGTTTCCGGGGTTAGGAACGGGCGTGTCTTGGAGATGTTGTGGAGGTGAAGTCTACATGATTTTGTCAGCGACTGGATCTGGGGCTGGAAGGACAGATGGGAGTCTAGGATTACACCTAGTACCCTGGCATGAGGGGATGGACTGATGATTGTGTTATCAATATTTATGCTGAAGTCAGTGGAGGTGGCACGGGCTGGGGGGAATACTAGGAGCTCAGTTTTGGACAGGTTGAGTTTGAGGAAGTGGAATGACATCCAAGCCAATATGTCATTTAGTAGGCTTTCGATGCGAGTGGAGACTGAATGGGTGAGGTGAGGGGTAGACAGATTTGCGTGTCATCAGCATAGAGATGGTAATTGAAGCCGTGGGAGTTTATCAAGTGACCAAGAGAGGAGGTGTAGATGGAGAAGAGAAGGGGTCCAAGGACCAAAACTTGAGGGACCCCTACAGAGAGAGGGAGTGAAGAGGAGGTGGCAGCGTTATAGGTAACACTGAAGGAGCGTTGCGATAGATAGGAGAACCAGGAGAGAGCGGAGTCTCTGAGGCCAAGAGAATGTAGTTTTTTGAGGAGGCGGGGATGGTCAACCGTGTCAAAAGCCGCGGAGAGGTCGAGTTGTAGGAGTATTGAATAGTGGCCGTTGGTTTTAGCAGTTAGTAGATCATTAGAGAGTTTTAGTAGGGCAGTTTCAGTGGAGTGTAGAGGTCGAAAGCCAGCCATGTTATTGCTCAATTGTTTATTTGAAACCTGTACTTAGAGAAATATGGGGCTGCCATTTTTGAGCTATATCTTAAAGCTGAAGTTTAGTCTATCAATCAAAATTAATTATTTTTTTTTATTTTTTTTTTTACATATCTTCAGTTTCTTCCTGGTTTCCGGCCTAGGTCAACACAATGTCATAAATCCAAAGAGTCTTCATTGGCATTTTTTTTTTCTTTCATTTGGAGGAGGGGATGAGGGTATAGACTCCTATTCATTCACAAAACTGAAGTGTAGTAAACATTGTTTATTATACTTCAGTGATGAATGGACACAGGAGCGATCAGTGCTGATCGCTCACTATATCCATTCAAGGAAAACAAAGGGCTGATAAACATGTGTGTTACATTTTAACTGCATAGCTCTGATCATCAGCTTGTTAGCCGCTAATCAGAGCTATCTGTTTGTTCAGCAGTTTGCTGCATATCAGCAATACCCTTCATTGCTGCTCTTTTATCAGCTTTGGCTGAAGGTGAAGAAACTGAAGTGGGAGGGTTATAACTGTCATAGCCCTCTATGGAATAATTCATTTTTGCCAGAAATTAATAAATTGCAAGGCTTTGGGCTGTGGCGGGAGAGGGGTGTGAGATATTTGCCTCAACTGTACGAGGGCGGTGTATTGAAAACCTATCAGTCACTTCAGGCAGAATTTCATTTTCCAACACAAAGATTTTTCAAATACTTACAAATGAGACCAGCTATAAATGTCCAAGCTTGTACATATAAACTAACTGAATATAAAAATCAAATACTCAAACTACTAACTAAAGCTGACTCCAAAACAGGGCTTATTTCCCACTTATGTAGGATTTTAATGGCTGAGATACAAAACCGCACCTTTTTCCCCTTCTAAGACAGGTTGACAGGAAGATCTAGGCCCCTTAACTGGAGACCTATGGGAGCAGGTACTGACTTCTCTTCCCTTTGTGTCCTTGCCACCAACTCAGGGCTCACTCAACTTTCCATCCTTAATAGAGTCTACCATACTCTTGCTAAACTGTATAGATGGAAACGTAGGGATATGGATATATATATTTATTTATTTCAGGTACTTATATAGCGCCGTCAATTTACGCAGCGCTTTACATACATATATATATTGTACATTCACATCAGTCCCTAACCCTCAAGGGGCGTACAGTCTAAAGTCCCTAACTCACATTCATACATACACATACTAGGGACAATTTTTTAGACAGGAGCCAATTAACCTACCAGCATGTCTTTGGATTGTGGGAGGAAACCGGAGTACCCAGAGGAAACCCACACAGTCACAGGGAGAACATGCAAACTCCCAGGCAGGTGGTGCCGTGGCTGGGATTCGAACCAACGACCCTAGTACTGCTAGGTGGAAGTGCTAACCATTTAGCCACTGTGCTGCCCTGATGTGCCAGAGGTCTGGCATACTTTATTAATCTATTATGGCTCTGCCCAAAACTCCATAGGTATTGGCAAGAGGTTGTGTCTCTCCTATCCTCCATATATCAAGCTACTCTACCACTACTAAATCCTAGATTGTGTCTTCTCATTATTTTTGATGACTCTTGAGTTTCTGATGAGGTGGTAGATTCTAAAACTAGACTGCTTTACATAGCATGGAAATGGGTTACCCAATAATGGATGTTCTTTAGCACTCCAACATTTGTGGAGTGGAGAAACCAAGTTAACTTTATTTCTCATGAAAAGCTGAAATACCAGTATAGGCATTGTACCAGAAAATTTGAAAGACTATGGAACCCTTGGCTGGCAGTACCTGGTCTGGCCCCATCCATTTGATTTTGGATAGCTAACTACGGGGGTCGGCAACCCGTTGATCACGGTCTACCTGTCTACTGCTGGCAAGTGCCAAGTAGACCATGAACAGCTCCCTCTCCCCCAGCCTCCTCCGCTGCTGCTGACATTCTCAGTGCAGAGCGGAGAGCAGAAGACAGCATGGCTCAGGACGGAGGGCGGGAGGAGTAGCTGGCCAAATTAACTTTTCATATTAACTTGCAGGTGATTGGTTGCTAGAATGTCAGCAGCAGCGGAGGAGGCTGGAGGAAAGGGGGGAGAGGACATTGCACGGGGAAGGTGGGGAGAAGGGGACCAGAGGCCACTGCTATGGGGGAAGGGGGGGGCAGAAGACATTACTGGGGAAAGGGAGGGATAGAAGTCACTGCTATGGGGGAAAGGTGCAGAGGACTCTGCCCCCCCCCCTTTCCCCCATAGCAGTGACCTCTAGCCCCCTTTTCCAAGCCCCCACCCAACAATGTCCTCTGCCACCCCCCAGAAATGCCATCTCCCCCCCTTTCCCAGAGCCTCCTCCACTGCTGCTGACATTCTCAGTGTCCTCTGCCCCCCCCCCCCCCTTTTCCCCATAGCAGTGGCCCCTTTGCCTGTCCCCAACTGCTTAGGCAGCCTTCTTAGGGCACCAGGGTAGCTGGGGGACAGGAAAATCCTGCAGGGAGTTAAGATTTTTAAAATACCTGCCTTCCGACGATCCCCTTTATTGTCCTGGAGCAGCTGAAAGCTAGCATCACCTCACCCTCCCCCCAGCATACAACTGCTGCAGGAGGAAAATCCAGGGGATCAGTTCTAGTGAACGCCTCTCCCGCTGCCCCCTCCCGTTTTTGTTCTTCCTTTTTTCTGCTGCCTGGCCCTTCTCCCAAGTGCTCCCCTTTCAACAGGGCTCCTAAAGAAATTGTGAGAATTATTAAAAAATAAAAATTAAAAAATAAAAACTACTGACACCAACCTCTGCCCTACTAAGTTTGTATTTTTGCAGTGACATTTGTTTTATTATATTTTTCTACATTTTCCTTTGAGTTAGGCCTTGCTAGTTAATTTTTTTTATTTTTTTAAATGGCGCTTAACCCTGGTGATCTTTGATCTTTCATGTTGGTCAGGTAGATCTCCACCTCTCAAAGGTTGCCTACCCCTGGGTTACTGTCCCTTTTGAATATGGAGTCTCTCTGCTCATCTACAGTCTCTGTATTACTTTATTGGAGAGGTCTCAATACATGACATACATAAGCAATAAATATTTTGGTCTATTTGTGCAAGTTAGGTTTAGGTTGTTATACAGATGTAGGTTCATGTTCATACAGGAGAACCCCTTTACTTGGCAAATGTAAGTGAATTGCTAGATATAATTTCACGTTATTGCAGTGTTCTCTACATTGCTACCAAATTGGGTAATGTCTGTTAATTATGGGTGTCCATCTGCTTATGGAAGATATTGTCTTTGTTTAGGATACTTGAACTGTCATTGTATGTCTGAATACCTTCCTTAGTTTTGTTGTGTGTAAATGGCTGCTTGCACAGTTGTGCATTTAAAACTAAAAATTCAAAAAAACTTATCTGATTTAGAAATGCTAATCTTCTTGCAACCTCACTACTTTGAGTCACAAAACCAGGAGGCTCAAAACTATTTTTTTATTCAAATAGGTCTTGTGTACAAAGGAGAGTGCTTTCTACCTGGTGTGAAAAACTGAGCCATCAGAAGGAGACTCGCTTGGCTGAGAGAATGGTCAGCAGTGCTTTCTGTGAGCATGTCCTGGACATTTTGGTACATTTAGAAGTAGGCCACTTTTTTCACCCTTGTTTTTTTTAATTCTAGGCTATATTGCAATATAACTGGCGGCTGCTGGAGCAGTACTGGAGCTCGTGGAAAAGGCGTCTGACAGCTGTTCAGGCAGAGCATGATTTGGATGTCTTGGCTTCTGAGCACTGTTGGAGACGGCAGCTGATGCATGTGTTACACGCATGGAAGGAATATGTACAAGAAATGAAAGCAGAGTAAGGAAAAAACAAAACATACCGACTAATGTGTAGACCATCTTAGCTTTAAATGATATCAAACGTTATATACATCCTTTCTGTAACTTGTCATGTTTTAAAGATACTGTAAATTTGTGTCCCTACATAAATCCTCTATACTATATACATTACATAGGATTGCAGTATCCCAAAATGTTCAACATCTGTGAACATGCCATTTAAGTCTTTGATCACCCTATTCTTTCATGGAAATCCTTTTTCATGTCGGTGAATAACTACATATGTTAGGAGTCAATTTTATGGCTGTAGTTGTGATGCAGCCAGCTGTGCACTTCTGTTGTCTTACCCAATTTACTGTGTTGTGCAGCCTAGCAGCAATTTGACAAGAGGTGCCTGATGTTATGTTCAGTATGATCCCTACTGCACAATCTATCTTTTGTAGTAACTTCCTCCCTGTTTTTGGTATATTCACCTAAATTGTATGCTCGGATTTCTGGAATTTTTAGAAAGAAGCCTTTAACCACTTGCCTACAGGGCACTTGTACCCCCTTCCTGCCCAGACCAATTTTTCAGCTTTCAGTACTGTCCAAACTTTGACTGACAATTACTCAGTCATGCAACACTGTACCCATATGAAATTTTTTTTTGTCCTTTTTTTCACACAGATAGAGCTTTCTTTTGGCGGTATTTTAATCCGCACTGGTTTTTTATTTTTTTGAGCTATAAATAAAAAAAAGACCAAAAAATATGAAAAAAAAAACACATTTTTCTTTTTTTTCTGTTGGAAAATTTTGCAAATAAGTAACTTTTCTTCATAAATCTTAGCCAAAATTTATACTGCTACATTTCTTTGGTAAAATTAACTTCTATTATTATTATTATATGTGTTATTTGGTCTTTGTGAAAGTGATAGAGTCTACAAGCTATGGTACCAATCATTGAAAATTGTACCGATTGTCCTCTCTCATTTCTTGAGACACTAACAAGCCAGGACAGTACAAATACCCCCCCCAAATGACCCCTTTTTGGAAAGTAGACATTTCAAGGTGTTTAGTCAGAGGCATAGTGAATTTTTTGAAGTTGTAACTTTTTTCCCACAATTCTATTGAAAATTTAAGTTTTTTTTTTGTTCAACAAAATTGTTATATTAAAAAGGTTATTTCTCCCACACGGCATATGCATACTTGCAGCTACACCCCAAAAACACATTCTGCTACTCCTGAGTATGGGGATACCACATGTTGAGACTTTTTCACAGTCTGGCCACATAGAGAGGCCCAACATGCAAAGAGCACCGTCAGGTGACCTAGGGGTATAAATTACACATTTAATTTCCTGACTGCCTATTAAACTTTTGAAGGCCCTGCAACACCAGGACAATGGAATTGCCCACAAAATTACCCCATTTTGAGAAGCAAACACCCCAACGTATATTCTCTGAGGCATAATGAGTCTTTTTGAACATGTCATTTTTTTCCACGTTTTCGGAAAATGTGGAAAGAAAATGAAAACTTATTTTTTTTACACAATGTTGTCCATTTATAAGATATTTCTCACAGATAGCATGTACATATCAAAAATTACACCCCAAAATACCTTCTGCTACTCCTCCTGAGTATGGGATACCACATAAGTGAGACATTTCCACAGCCTGGCCACATAGAGAGCCCCAACATCCAAGTAGCACCTTTAGGCCTTCTAGGGGCAAAAATTACACATCTAATTTCTTAACATCCTATCATGTTTTTGAAGGCCCTGAAGCACCAGGACAGTGAAAACATGCACAAAATTACCCCATTTTGGAAAGCAAACACTCCAACGTATTTTTTGTGAGGCTTAATGACTTTTGAACGTGTCTTCTTTTTTTTTTTTTTTTTTCCACAAGTTTTAAGAAAATGTGTGAAAGAAAATGAAAATGTATTTTTTTTTTAACACAAATTTGTCAATCTATAAGATATTTCTAAAATAACAGCATGGACATACCAAGAATTACACCCCAAAATACATTTACTTCTCCTGATTATGGGGATACCACATGTGCAAGACCTTTTCAATGTCTGTACAGATTATGTGCCCAGCATTGCAACAAGTGTAACACAAAATCAACAAACACTGTATAGAAAACAATGTAAACAAAAGATTACCTGTGGTATGAGGAGAGCATTGGTCTAGGTCAGTACAGACAGCAGGCTGGCATCCAGGCAGCAGGCAGGAACAAGGGTCCATAAAAAAGTCCTAGGTCAGGGCAGGCAGATATATGGTCAGCACAGCCAAAGTATGGTTAAGACAGCAGGCAGTAACATGTCCATAAAATGTCCCTGGGTCGTTACAGGCAGAATGCAGAGATATGGTCAGCACAGCCAAGGTATTTGTCCAGGCAGCAGTCAGGAATATGGTACATAAAATGTCTTGGGTTATTACAGGCAGCAGGCAGAGATATGGTCAGCACAGCCAAAGTTTTTATCCAGGCAGCAAGCAGGAACATGGCCCATAAAAGGTCCTGGGTCAGTACAGGCAGTAGTAGGCAGAAATATGGTCAGCACACAGCATTGGTCCAGGCAGCAGGCAGGAACATCAGGCTTAGGGCCTTGGTCAGGTAGGACCAGGGCACAGAGGTAGAGGCTTCGTCCCACCCAATCTCTCGAAGCCTCTGGACAAACAGACCCTGTTCTGGAAATTACAAAACCCCAGAGAAAACCAAAAAACTGGTTTTCTCTACTCAGAACTCTACTCTGAAGCCCCTCATGTATGTGAGACCCCTGTGTTATCGTGCATCCTACTACTACAGTAGCAGGGCAAAATATCAATCCAAGTGCAGGCAAAAAACATGTGGAGGTGTCGTTGTGGATGGTGGACAGGGCGTAAACGTCTCTTATCCTTCCACTTCAGGGCCAGCCACTTCGTCATTTCTTAGGTTTGCTGATTCCTCCCTTTGTAGCCTGGTATTCCCTAAAAAATGTGGGAAGCCCTTTCTGTTTTTTCAGAAGGTACCGCAGGCCAAGGTTTTCTCACGGTACAGGTGACGGAAAAAGGGCAGACTGGTGTAGAAATGATCCATGTAAATGTGATAGCCCTTTTTGGAAAAGTGGTTAAGCCAGGTCCCACTTTTTCCCACTTGTTCCAATGATAGCTTGGGCACTCGGAATGGATCTGGGAATCTTTGCCTTCATATACGCGGAATGCATATAAATATCCCGTGGCTCTTTTCACAAAGCTTTTAGAGCTTTAATCCATATCTGTCCCTCTTACTTGGAATATATTGCTTAATTCCTAGCCGGCCAGTGAAGTGGATAAGGGATTCATCCACACATATATTTTTATCGGGAGCAAGAAGTTCAGCAAATCTTTGGGGAAAGAAATTAAGTGGCAAATTTTGTTTAATTGTCATAGTTGGGATGATCTCTGGGAGGGCACTGGGTATTGTCACTGAAATGAAGGAAACGCATGATTATCTCATAACGTGACCTGGGCATTATAGAAGAATAAAGTGGCATGTGTGGATTGGGTGTGTGGACCAGTATGCATGTCCTTCATTTTTTATTTTGTAAGCCCCATGTTAAGGGTGAGGCCCAAAAATAACTTAAATTCCTCCAATGTAAGAGGTCTCCATTCAAACGGACAGGAATAGGATGAACTGGGGTTGTTAGAAATGAATTGGGTGGCATAAAGTTTCGTCTGGTCCATAATAAAACTGTAGTAAAGTGTTGGGCAAAAATAAATTAAAAAAAAAAATCAGTTGCTGAAAAATTCTATGTTTGGCCTGCACACCTGGCTGTGCAGTGAAAGGGGGAATGCTTGCTAATCCAGAGTTGGAGGGCAGCCATAATGGGTTGGCAAGAGCATCTGGAAGGTATGTTTTGGCCCTGCTTCTGGGGGTTGATGGAATATTCCAGTGCTGGTATTAGGTCTAGCTCCATTGGCATTTGCAGATTGACCATTTGGGTGTATGGCGCTACTGGTGGCTGCCTTGTTTTCAAGAGTGCCGTATCCTTTTTAGGAGGGACCCTTTCCTCCTCTGATTCAGTCGCTGATCCACCGCTCTCTATGGGCTCATATACTGAATCAAAAATCGGAAGGTGAGAACTCCCCCTGCTCTCATCTGTCATATTGAGGCTTTTGAACGTCTCCTCACTAGTGTAAGCCTGTTTTGACATGGCTGGGACAGGTAGACTGCTGATGTTGGCTGTAGGACGGGTACTCTGGTGATGGTGGCTGTGTGACGTACTCCTCTGCTGATGGTGGCACTAATGGACGACAGGTGCACTGCTGATGGGCGACAGGTACACTGCTGGTAACAGATGCACTGATGGGTGACAGGTACACTGATGGCACTGCTGGGTGACAGGTGCACTGCTGGACGACAGATGCACTGCTGGTGAGCACTGATGGGCGACGGGTACACTGATGGGCGACAGGTGCACTGCTGGTTGGGAGATGGGTACACTGATAGGCGACAGGTGCACTGATGGGGCGACAGGAGCACTGCTGATGGGTACTGAAGGGCGACAGGAGCACTGATTTGGTGACGGGTACACTGATGGTCACTGATGGGCGACAGGTACACTGATGGGCCGACAGGTACACTGATGGGCGACAGGTACACTGATGGGTGACAGGTGCACTAATTGGCATTGGGTACACTGATGGGCGACAGGTACACTGATGGGGGGGGGGGGGGGGCGACAGGTACACTGATGAGCACTGTGACGGGCTGTTATCTGTGTATGCACTATAAAAACTCGTAACCTCACTATTAGAAGATTCCTCTCCTCACACAAGATCTGTGTGAGTGAGGAGAGGAAGCTGGTAACAGTGAGTTACCGCTCTGAGTTTGCATTTATGACAGACTGTGATTGATCACAGCCTGTCACGATGGAAAAGAACAGCAGCCAACAGCTCCTTACCACGATGGATGATGATCTGTGTCCCAGGAACACAGATCAGCAGCGAACAGCGCGCTCCCCGCGCTGAGCATGCACGTATGACATCCTCCCAGAACGAGAGAACCCGCCCTTGCAC